ATGTTGTCTAATCTCATCTATGGTGGAAGAAAATCCATTTCTGTAACTGGCTGCATGATGCAATATTACTTTTTTGCCATTTTAGGAGTTGCTGAATGTTGTCTACTAGGGGCAATGTCATATGATAGATATGTAGCGATTTGTAAGCCGCTGTATTACACAACACTAATGAATAGCAGAATTTGCCTCCAGTTTATAGCTGGATCATGGATTCATGGTTTATTTGTTATGAGCATAGTTTTATATCTTATTTATCAGTTAAAGTTCTGTGGGCCCACTGAAATTGATCATTTCTTTTGTGAACTGAATCCAATATTAAAGCTTGCATGCAGTGACACTCATTTGATTGAAATAGTAACTATTTTTATGTCTGTTATATGTATCTTGTTTCCTTTCTTCTGGACCTTGGAATCTTATATTTTTATTATTTCCACTATAATGAGAATGTCATCTGTCAATGGAAGGAAAAAGGCTTTTTCAACCTGCTCTTCACACCTCATGGTGGTGTCCATTTTCTATAGCACCTTAATGATTGTCTACATTTTGCCCAAAACAGATGGCCTGCGAAACATTAACAAAGTATTATCTCTGTTTTATACAATCCTGACTCCTTTGTTCAATCCCCTAATATACAGCCTACGAAACAGGGAGGTGAAAGAGGCTCTTAAAAAAGCAGTTGCTAAATTGTGTACAATTGGAACGACGCACCACTTTAATCAATTATGAACATTTTTTTTGTTCATATTCTGCATTATTCCCAATGAAACCAAGATTTGGTGTCTTTTGAGGACAGTATCATGTTTCTAGATTTTTCTGCAATATTATATTAGGGACTGCCATGATTTTGTCCTTCTTACTTGAAAAAGCCAGAGCAGGGTGGATAATATACACAAGTAATTTTTTTATTGTTCATTCTTCTCTGAGAAATAAAGTTTTTGATGGGTTGCATTCATTCTAGCTAAATATAAAAAGTAATTTGAAAGTTTCTTCAAATTTTAACTTTTAAGAAATGCTGCATATTTAAGAGAAGAATTTTAGAGAAAGGGGTTTTTTTTTCTACCTGCAGAACTTCCTGGATTAAGCAAATGATTATCTTAAGAAATGCATTTACAAAAGCATTAAAGCACATGATGTCTTGAATGGAAGGGTGAACGGACAGGTAGAATTGCTGCTGAGCTATGACTCCCTCCCCATGTAAACCTCTGACCTTTACAGAGAAGAATTTGAAAGAATCAATAGGAGATTTCATGCCAGTCTCACAGCTACTTCTATTAGAGTGACTGATTATGATCAGCAAGGACTCTGTTTTATAAAAATCCTCCATAGTTAAGACTTTTCCACTTGAAAATATTAAAAACTTTTTACTTGGAAGTATTAAATGCTTTTTGATCTGATTCATCCTCTTTTGTGCCTTCTGCTTTTTTGATTTATGGTTTACATATTTATTGCTTTTAAACTTAATATGCTGCCCAGTATCATTGCTTGTGAGATGGGCACCCATGTACATTTGATAAATAAATAACATATATGTTATGTTTAATTATATATCTATCACTCTGTAATAGATACATGCGTGCATAATCACAGTTACACTGTATTAATCATAATATATTAGAAACAATGATAAAATATTTAATAGCAACATAATTGTTTTAATTGACAGCGTCATTAATGTTTTGCCTCCAGTGTTCCTGAATAAGTAAAAGAAGCCAATCTTCAAAATCTTCTGTTTGCCATTACTCAACCAATCTGCCCTATATTTATATGAACTGCTAATATTTTGAAAGATAGACCAAAGATCTTCAGAAGGATCTTGACAGAATTGACATTGGGCCCTATCCAACAAGATGAACGACAGGTATAGAATAGGTGGTATCTGGCTCAACAGTAGCAATTGTGAGAGGGATCTAGATGTCCTTTAGTGGATCATCACTTAAGTATGAATCAGCAGTGTGCTGCAGCTGCCAAAAAAGCCAATGTGGTCCTAGGTTGCATAATATACAGATTCCACTATATCTGTAATTAGTCACAACTGTATGAATCAACAATAAAAACAATGCAATTTGAACAATTTATTTTAATAGTTGATTGATACAATATCTACAGTTTGGTCTTCCAACTCATAATATGGATTTTTAAGTAATTTAATAATCAAAATTTTAAACATGTATCTAAGAAAGATCAGTTAATTATATTCATGATGTACACAACACAAAGATGCACCACTATTTCTGCAAAAAGTTTCTGAATATCAGACTAGAACAAAACAAGCAAGTTGTCTTTAGAAAAACATATTTCAGATGAGATCTTACAGAGTCAATAATTTTTTTAAAAAAAAACATTTTATTAAGATGTAAAGTAAACTACAAAATACAAAGCAAATAGTAGGACACAATGGGGAGGAAAAAGGGAGAAGAAAGTGAGGGAAAGGGAAGAAAAAAAAAGAGATTGACTTCCGACTCTAATCCTAACCCTCTGTTGCAGTAGAATAGAGTATTAGCGTCAAGCCTCAACTTTTTACTTTTTCACAATAATAAAAACTAGCCATTTCTGTAACAACAAATCAATTTAATCAGTGAAACCCAAAATCAAAGTTTCATTCTTTCTCCACGTTGAAATGAAGGTACTTGAGTTCTTTTTTTAAAAATCAAAACAGTCAGTTTTGCCATCTTTGCCAACTCCATCAGCTTCTGTAGCCATTCATCCATAGTAGGAATCGAAATGTCGTTTCATTTTTGTGCATACAGTAGTCTTGCTGCCATCAACATATACAGGATCAAAGTTCCGAATTGTTTTTTCAAGTCTTTTTCCATTAAACCCAAAAGAAGTTTCTGGTTTCATGTTTATTTTTACTTTAAGGATTTTCTGTATCAAAATGTGAATCCTTCTCCAATATTTCTTTGCTTTATCACATGTCCACCAAAAATGATAAAAAGTCCTTTCTTTACATTTACATTTCCAACATTCATTTGAAGTACCTTTATACATTCTAGATAACTTGTCTGGTGTTAGATACCAGTGATACATTATCTTGTAGAAATTTTCTTTTAAGTTGTAATTCAATGTACATTTTAAACTTTTCATCCACATATTCTCCCATTGTTTCAGCATCACATTATAACCAAAATTCCTTGCCCATTGTATCATAAAATGTTTTATATGTTCACTTTCCAAATTCAATTTCAATAGCATTTTATAAGCCTTGGCAATAATATGTTCTTCACTGCCACACAATAATATTTCCAATTCATTTTAATGAAGTCAACCCCCAAAATTTTTTATCTAGTTTAAATCTTTCTTTCAGTTGTTGGTATGTAAACCAATGACAAACACAATCCTCTGATTCTAACTCTTCCCTCGATTTAAGAATAGGGTCACCAGAGTTGAAAAGTATTATTTTACCATAGGTCCACCAATCCAGTTTCACCACCATTTCTTTTCTTAAAAAAGCTTCCTGTGGGGATACCCAAAGATTCAACTGTGGAGAATCTTGTTTTTGTACTTGTTCCATACACTTAGTATGGTACATCTAAAAAAGTGATTATTAAAATCAACATTAACTTTAACTTTATCATACCATAAATAACCGTGCCATCCAAACCTTAGTTCATGACTTTCCAAATCAAGTAGCATCTTATTCTGGAGGTTCACCCACTCTTTTAACCAGGCCAGGCAACATGCATCAAAATACAGTTTCAAATCTGGTAAACCCAAACCCCCTCTTTCCTTAGCATCTTGCAATGATTTATATCTAATCATTAGTTTCTTCCCTTGCCATATGAACTTGGAAATATCCCTTTGCCACTGTTTAAATGGGACATCAGTTGCAAGTATTGGTAAGGTCTGGAACAGAAAAAGCATCTTTGGTAAAACATTCATCTTGATTACAGAGATCCTACACAATAATGATAGATATAATTTATCCCATCTTTGTAAATCCTTTTTGATATCATTCCAAAGAGGCACATAGTTATTTTGAAACAATTTTATATTTGTATTTGTCAAATTAACCCCCCCCCAATATTTCACCTTTTTCTCAAACGTAAACCCCGACTCCTTAGTCAGTATATCATTATCCTGAGATGACATATTCTTAGCCAACATTATGTTTATTTATTTTAAAATTTGCTAAAGACCCAAATTCATTTAACTTCATCATCAAATATCCTAGATTATTTTTGGGTCTTGTAGGAATATGACCAGATCATCAGCAAATGCCCCCAGTTTATAAACTTCTTTCTTGATAGTTATGCCCTTTATTTTCTCGTCTGCCTAATATCTCTATTCAAAAATAATAAACAGCAAAGGAGACAAGGGATATCCTTGTCTCATATCCTTTTGAATTTCACATTAGTTGATTAAATCACCATTAATAACAATTTTTGCTTCTTGTGATGTATAAATAGCTTTAACTCCTTGAATACAATTATACCCAAAGTCCATTTCTTCCAACACTTTAAACATAAACACCCAATTTAAATTGTCGAAGGCCTTCTTTGCATCTAAGAATATTAAGCTGCTTGTTTCTCATTATGATATTGTAAATATTCTGTAATGTTAAGGACAGCCCTCACATTGTTCCTTATCTGTCTTTTCAGCAGAAAGCCCGATTGGTCTTCATGTATATATTCTAATAAAATATTCTTTAGTCTTTCTTCCAAAACTGAAGCAAAGAGTTTATACTCCAGAGGGCATTATTTTTGATATGATAGGTTAACCCCAAATTACAACAAAGGGCTAAATACACACACACACACACACACACACACACACACACAACAATATTTTATTGGATTAAGATAAGACCCCACCTCCTCCCTGTGTACATCTTGCTCCCTCCTCCCCCTGTTTGCAATTTTAATTTACATTTAATGTTACTATTTATTGTTTTAATGTTTTAAACATTAAAGTGTAAGCTACCTAGAGCTGCCTTTGGCAAGATGGGAGGCATATAAGTTTAATAAATAAATAAATAAAAATAAGAAGAAATAAATCAAAATCTATGATAATATATTGGCTTGCATTCTTGCAAAATGATATATTTTGCATCCAACTCTCCTTAGCGCTTTGTGGACTTCTTGGTTTCTTAAACTATAGATCAAAGGGTTGATCAGAGGAGTCAAGATAGTGTAGAAAATGGAAAAAACTTTATTCAGTTCCCTCAAACTGGGTGTATCTGGCAAAATGTAGACAATTATTAGCATACCATAAAAAAGACAAACCACCATGAGATGAGACGAACAGGTTGAAAAGGCTTTTTGCCTCCCAGCAGCAGAAGATATCTTTAGAATTGTGGCAATAATGGCAATATAAGACATTAGTGTAAGTAGAAATGGAGTGATAGTGAAAATAACAGTCAAAAGGAAGGTAACAAGTTGAACTATTGTTGTGTCACTACATGCAAGTTTTTCAAGTGGAATCAAGTCACAAAAATAATGATTTATAATATTAGGGCCACAGAATGATAACTGAGCCAGCAGTGCTATTGTTAGGCAATTTGCTAGGAAAGAACCAATCCATAATCCAATCATAATCTGAACACCAACCATAACATGCATGATGGAAATATAATGTAAAGGTCTACATATTGCCAGATATCGGTCATAGGACATGGCTGCCAGGAGATATGTTTCGATGCAAACACAAGAACCAAACAAATAAAATTGGACCATGCATCCAGTAAAAGAAATAGATTGTTGACCAGTAAACAAATTGGCCAACATTTTTGGTAAGATGATTGAACTATAGCAGGTCTCCAGGCAGGACAGATTTCCTAGGAAAAAGTACATGGGGGAGTGAAGATGGTGGTCAGCTATCACTAAGAATATAATGAGGAGATTCCCAGTTATTGTTGCAATATATATTATCAAGAAGAAAAAGGAAAGAAGAGGCTGCAACTCCGGGAGAATTCCAAATCCCACAAGGATGAATTCTGAGATTATAGTCTGATTTCCTGTCTTTATTTTGAACATTTCTTCCATTTGGAAATTATCATATTTTCCTTCTGTATATCTCTTATTGATGAAACCCATGGCAGGTCTGTTGAACTGTAGAATAAAACAAGAATTAAATGGATTTAAAAATGTAAATTCATATAGAATTTTGTGTTATATTATCCAACCAGAATTCCCCCTACCCTTATCTTGTTAGGTAGAGAGCCTTGAAATAGAATTGCAGAAGTATTGCTGAAGTCACTGTGAAGCCACAGCAATATTTATGACATCTTGTGTTTCAAAAATAGCCATGTGTCATTTCATGGAGGAAATAATACTTTGTGTTTTGACTCTAATTAGAAATTTAGAATTAGGAATATGGAGTTCCACCTTTGTCAGTGAATGTTCAATACTGTATAGTTTTACTAAATTCAGTTTTATTGTATCACAAAGCTACAAGTAACATTTTATCCTTTTAATTTAATTGAAGTTTATTCTTATAATGATAATTTTCAATTTCTCTTGATAATAGACATGAACATCTGAATAATGGAATATGATGTAGGACTAATAGTTGGACAATAGTAAATATTGCTTTATTAGTTGGGCATTGTACACCAACTAAAATATGAACCAAGATTTTCAAAGATATATTTTAGATTAGGACTATATATAAGAGTATCTAAACTGTTACTGAAATCACATAAAAGATCAATAATTAGGGAAGAGATTAAAAGGGGTTTTGCCTTCTGTAGCAGATTTCTTTCTTTATTAATATTTTCCTTTATCTGTTGAAATATCTTTTTAAATATTTAAATATCCTGCTTTCAATATTTCTCCTCCTCCTGCTAAATACTGACCAATATTAACTGTAATGCATGATAATAACTGAGATAATAACAATTCAATTCTAGGGAGAATAGATTTGAAAAATTACAAAGAATAACTAGTACAATTAAGCTCTAAGTTCTGTTCTTTTTTTAAATATAGAGGACAAGGGGACATTTGGGTATTACAGGAACAGAATAAAATAAGAAAATGCTTTGGAAATATGCACTACACTCACACCAGGTTTTGCTTTGTGGAAATAATGGTTTCTCATTTAAGCAAGGTTTTAAGTGTTCCTATTTTGTAGATAAAGAAAATCAACAATAAGTTGATTTTGCCCTTACCTGCAACCACTCTCTGTTCAGGGGATTTCAATCAATAACCAAGGATTGCTCTAAAGTTTGAATGTCAAAACTAGATGTTCAGCACATTAAAAAATGTTTCAGACAATTATATTACTTTACATAAGCCACGGGATTTACTGATTTGCTCTTTGAAAAAAAAAAGTATGACGCAACCAGACTCGTAAACCTCAAGGATCTGCTAATTCATTCTTTCCCATAGGACCATTGCTTCAAAGATAGATGTTAGACTCTTTCACATAGAAATAATTATATTTTTTCTGTTAAAGTATTGCCAAGTAATTGAGATTCTAAATCTAACACAGCTTTCCCCTTCAGAGATGCAAATATTGTGAATTAGGAGTTCCAGGCATCCTATTAGAATTCTTCATTTAGTCCTTGTAGAGTGGGTAGGACCAGAAATTCTACCCTCAGAAAACTTGCTTTGAATTGCTGCAATATTTGTTTTAAACTGAGAAGGTGGGAGAATGAACATTTTTATCTAGCTTGTAGGAATATGACAGGCTGACCAGTAGAATTTAATTTAATAATTTAATTTAATAATTTAATTTATATACCGCCCTTCTCCCGTAGGACTCAGGGCGGTGCACAGCATATTAAAACAGATACAAACAAAATACATCAAAAAACAAAAAAACCCCATAAAACCAAATTAAAAGCCAAATATTGGAAGCTGTGTGTCAATTAAAATTTTCTTAAAATCATCCCTACCTA